GAACACCAGAACGTGCCGAAGATCACCATAACGTGGAGAATATCTGATTTTGATATATACCCGGTCGGGTATGTCCTTTGACCCGGTCGGGTACCCGGCCAAAGGTGTTGTAAAACACCTATAAATAGCCTCATTTTCCTTCACTTTTATTCATCTCTTCTTCCATACTCCAAAGCTCAGTTTAGAATAGCATTTCTTATATTTTTATAGCATGTTTAGTCTCCAAATGAGGAGCTAAACCCTTTCATCTTGGTTTTGCTACTTTGAAGCTTAATTAATTTGTAAGTTGTGAGTTATTTTCTTTAATCTTCTTCCTTGAATATTAATTCTTTCTTTAAAATACTATTTCTATATCAAAGTTGGGGAGTGTTACTAAGATGACAATTAGTTAACATCTTGACATTGGTTATAGTAATAGCTATTTCTTCCTCTATGTTAATATCGGGGAGTGTTACTAAGATGACAATTAGTTAACATCTTGATGTTAATCATAGTAGGATTCATATTCTTTAATATTCTTCCTTGAGTATTAATTAATTCCTATTCATATTTCATGTTAATATTTTAAACATTACTTAAAGTATCAACTAGTTTTGTTTCTCATATTAATTATTACTAGAATCAATCGGTTAATACGCTTGTTATTAATCCTGTTCTTTCAACGGTAGTAAACTTGGAATATTGATGCATGCATCTCATGGTTAATATGCCAAGGGGGATTAATTATATTGATTAAACCAATAAATCGCTTGTGTTGAGGTTATCAATCTCAATCGTTTTCATCTTAAGTTTATTGCTACTATCAAGTTAATATACGGCGCTTGTTCTATATTGACTCGATAGTAAGTTTTATTAATGAACGCATCTCGTTATTAATAACTACCCTCGATGAACTGGATATACTCCTCGAATTGAGTATTCCCCGACAACGGCGCCAAATTTGACGTGCACTTGTCGTGAGGTGCACTCAAATTAATTACAATACAACACTAATACGTAGTATAGTGAAGTAAGGTTCGTATCCACAGGGAAAGAAATACTTTTCTTTGATATAAATAGTAACAAGGGGGAGGTCAGTTTGCTTTGATTTAATTTAATTAACACTAAGATAAACAACCTATATGAGTTTAATTAATAGATGTGGAGACTTCGTTTTGCTTTTATCCACTTAATGAAATGTTCGTCGATCCCGGTTATATCTTTAACTATCTTCCTCTTGAATACTCAATCGAGGAGTATATCCAGTTCATCGAGGGTAGTTATTAATAACGAGATGCGTTCATTAATAAAATTTACTATCGAGTCAATATAGAACAAGCGCCGTATATTAATATCAAAGTTGGGGAGTGTTACTAAGATGACAATTAGTTAACATCTTGACATTGGTTATAGTAATAGCTATTTCTTCCTCTATGTTAATATCGGGGAGTGTTACTAAGATGACAATTAGTTAACATCTTGATGTTAATCATAGTAGGATTCATATTCTTTAATATTCTTCCTTGAGTATTAATTAATTCCTATTCATATTACATGTTAATATTTTAAATATTACTTAAAGTATCAACTAGTTTTGTATCTCATATTAATTATTACTAGAATCAATCGGTTAATACGCTTGTTATTAATCCGGTTCTTTCAACGGTAGTAAACTTGGAATATTAATGCATGCATCTCATGGTTAATATGTCAAGGGGAATTAATTATATTGATTAAACCAATAAACCGATTGTGTTGAGGTTATCAATCTTAATCGTTTTCATCTTAAGTTTATTGCTACTATCAAGTTAATATACGGCGCTTGTTCTATATTGACTCGATAGTAAGTTTTATTAATGAACGCATCTCGTTATTAATAACTACCCTCGATGAATTGGATATACTCCTCGATTGAGTATTCAAGAGGAAGATAGTTAAAGATATAACCGGGATCGATGAACATTTCATTAAGTGGATAAAAGCAAAACCAAGCCTCCACATTTATTAATTAAACTCATATAGGTTGTTTATCTTAGTGTTAATTAAATTAAATCAAAGCAAACTGAACCCCCCCCCCCCCCCCCCCTCTTGTTACTATTTATATAAAAGAAAAGTATTTCTTTCCTTGTGGATACGAACCTTACTTCACTATACTACGTATTAGTGTTGTATTGTAATTAATTTGAGTGCACCTCACGACAAGTGCACGTCAGAAGGTAATTTATGAGATCCGCGTCCGAAGGTCGAAATACAAAGCCGGGGGAACATGTTTCATCGTGAATCGGAGAAGATTGATCCGGTGGCAGGAGGAAAGACTGAGTTCATACATTAGTCTTTTACACAGCTATACCACAATAGTGATATTGAGAAATTAATAAATACCAGAGCCGTCTAATGAATTTGGAGGCCTTGGTTCGAAATGTCATATTGAGGCCCCCTAAAATAATAAAGAATAACAATTCTAACAATGAAATACAAAAACACTAAATAGTTCATGAAATATAAGTTTTATAATGTTTAAAGTACTTCGTTCAAAAAAATGTTTAAAGTACACAAGTTGAACAATCTTAAAGTAATATTACATCGCTAATGAAGTTTCACATGAATAGGGTTGTCCTCCTAGCAGTTCTCAAAGCAAAATCATCAATCAAATCTTTATACTCTATCTTCTCAAGAACTTCATTCTCGATTGATATCATTGCCAAGCCATCGAGTGTTTGTTGTGACATTGTTGATCGCAAGTGAGACTTTAATAACTTGAGCTTTGAAAAACTTCTTTCTGCACTAGCCGCAGTCACAGGAATAGTCAACATTATTCTATAAGCAATAATTGCATTAGGGAAACAACTAAAACTACTCATCAAAAACTTGAGAATATCAATAGGTCCCAGCTTCTCTTCTGACAAGAATCCCCCACAGAATTTCAGGTCGATATATAAATCATTTCTATCCACATCAGATTGTGCATCTTTTTTAAGAGCACCTTCAAGATGAGTGCAACATGACATTAAATGTGCATCATCCGGTAAACTCAACTTCTCAGAAGTAAACATAAAACCAAAAACCCTCTCAGAAGGCAAAATGGCAAAATAGGGATTTTAAACAAGAACAATCACCTCAAATCTCTGAGTTGTCACCGTAGCATCAACAACTTAAAGTTCAAACTCACGACCAAGTTTCAGCCCTCCAACTAGGCAACTCTCCAGGTCTCCTGTTTCGAATCTCCACCCTCCAACCAATGCAAAATCCTGAAAAATGTAAAATTTTAAAATATTAGAAGATTAAAAGGCTCAAAATTTATCATATTCACATATGCTATAATTAAAAAAATAAAATAAAAATGAAAATACCTCTTATTCTGGTAATCAGTTCCGATGCTTGAAGAATTGAATAGACTGCCTTCCTTGTCCTTGAATCCTTTCTCTTGAATTTAAATTGTTTGGTTCTTAAGTTGTAATTTAAGAAGTGAAAAGTCATTTAGGTTTTAGGCGTAAAAAGGTCCTACCCGAGCACAACCCTACGTAGTACGTACATAATTGTCTAGTTTATTCCTTTTGTATTATGGTAGTTAATAAGACATTAAGACTCCACATTAAATGAATAATAAGTACTCATCATTGGAATTTGGAAAGTACACGACTCTAGTTTAACTACTTAATTGTACAAAAAAGCGAAACTAATTAAGCAATTATTATGTACGGTTATATATTTGCTTCAAAAAAAAGTACAGTTATGTAAAAAAATGTTCCATTTTTCAATTTATAAAAACTAAAAGTTATACAAATATGAAATAATACACAATATCTAAAAAAATTAACCTATAACTAATACTACTTAATAAATATTTGGAGACCCCCTATAGACGTAGGTCCCGATGCGAAGCACCTATTGCCCCTCCTAAAAGACGACCCTGATTAATACATCTTGTATAGCGATTAGTTAATTATTAGTTGGTGATATTATTCAACATAAGATTTAGTGTGTAAAGCAGTACTATACATAATTAAGAACATATTTTGTCGTATTGTTTTTATGTTACTCACTTCTCGATTTAATTTTAAGATTGAAGTTTTATGGACATAATCTACACTTGATGAATAATATTCTCATAAAATCTCATAAAAAATTCCACTCGAAAGCAGATTAGTCTGAAATGATTATTTGTTTAGTTTATTAATGGATTTCATTTATAGTTGATTGATTTCTTAATTGTTGATTGTTTCTATTAAGTATTGGTGTTATAACTTGTTGATTTCGTTAGACAAACATTTTCAATTATGATAAAATTTATAAAATTAATTAATTTCAAGGTGTAATAGAAAGGATTGAATCTGAATAAGATATACTATGTCTACAAAAAGGAGAGAATTATAGAAAGCAGTGCTAAGTAAAAAAGGTTCAATTAAAAAGTTTGTTAGTGTAAAAAAATCAAATTCTGAATGTCCTCCTTAAGATAATAACTCATTGAAGAATAATAATATAACTACCGAAAATGAAATGATTCACAATGATTACATCATTGGAGGGGGGAATTTAGGAGTCCATAATATTAGAGTTGATTCCTTAAATATGACTTAAGCATTGATAAAGTGTACAATTGTACAAATAGACCACCATTGTATACTTCCTTAATAAGGATCACCAATACTATAATATGATTAATTTAGAAATAATAAAGTTTTACATTTTTTTATAAATATCTTGATATATTATTATTACTATTATTTTTATTATTATTATTATGCATGTCAATTTCCGCCCCTAGGCCTTCAGACATATCAAGCCAGCCGGCCCTGTATCAATTTTTTTTTTAAAATTCGAGATGGAGAGGATGTTTTTTGTTAGAGATGATTTAGTCCTATATTTATCACTTTCTAAAAATTTAAAAAACTGGAAATCTTAGTCCAATTTTTTTAAAATTTACACATTTCTTAGTCGTCAAGAGGCAGGCCAAAGATACATAGCGTACACCATAAGACTGACTATGCAATCCAAGGTTACAAACACGCATTTTAATAAATAATAAATATAAGCCACTAAAAACTTAGAACACATTGAGAATTTATAAAAGAGAACTCATATTGAGAGGCTAAAAGAATGGATACACTGGAATAACGTCATTTTCTAATACCAAGTCACCAAAACGTGATTGCCAAGACAAAAATACAAACTAAAGAAAACTCAAATCCAACTGTTTGGTTGGTTTTCTTTTCCCTGCTGGCTTCAATCTGCAGCATTTGTAATCTAAAATAATAACAAATTGAATGTCTTCTATGGATCGAATCATATGCACAATGATGAAGAAATGATGCTATTCATAATAATACAGCAAGAGTCTTCTTGTCTTGAAATCAAAACATCTCTCATCTTCTCCACTTTACCCCTTGTGCACGACTTGGTTTACGATCCAATGAACCTGGTTAAGAGTTAAGACCACAAGGTAACATCTAAGTAACACTATTTCCCTGAGATTTGTTTAATTCAATAAAACCCAAAGCTAAATCTTACTATGTTGTTTTGTGGACTTCTCCAATAGAATCCTTGTACAGCAATGACCCCAATGTTGGAAGTCAAAAGAATGAAAATTGTAAGGGAATGCTTCCCAATCCACTCCAATAACCAGGTCAACCGCCTTTGACCATAAACATCAACCTTCACACCAAATAAATAAATGTCAAACTCAGCACCTACTAATAATATGTTTTCAAGAACACTATTATTATTGTGTCAAAATCAACATAACACTCACCAGTAAGTACAGAGCACATAAAGTAATTCCAGCAGTTGCCGAGGTTACCATCGTATAACTTATGGAGTACAAAGATTTGTTGAAAGGAGGTATACCTGTATTTGGGGAGATTCAAACAAATTCAGTGGACTATTAACTCATCTTACCTTGAACAAATGTAAAAACATAAGACAAGTTTTTTTGCCGGCCTAACACCTTTGATATTCGACTTCAATTTTTTTCACTTTTAGGTTTGTAAACTATCATGAGAGAGGCACTTTTGTGACTTGCGCTTGAATTTTTCACTTTCTTTAAACTATGATTTTGCCACAAATAGGATGAAAACCAAAAGTATTCATTATAACAATAGTTGAAAGACAGATAAAAGGAAATAGGAAGTTTAGAAACCAGTACTAAATGTGTGGATGATACAGTACTTGAAGGACTAAAAGTAAAAAAGTCAAATATGAGCACCAAAAGTGTTATTGACACAACAATCCAAGGGCTACAAGTGACAAACCAAAGCAGCATACGAAGTATAAAGTTTTGAGTTGTGTCTACTCCTATCATCAGAAAGGAGCCTATTTTATTACTTATTTCATCCGATCTTTAAAATTAAAGAAGCTTAATTACCTATTAGTGCAAGGAATAACCCAGTCACCAGAAGTGGAAATGATAGGACCAACCAGTTGTACAAACGGTCTTTATGCTCCTGTTATAATGTAGAATAGATGTATCAGAATTGTTGGTTCAATCTGCCATTAGCATTTCAGAGCTAAGTTGAAGCTTATTACCTTGGAGTGTAAGAGAATGTGCCCATACTGGAGTCCAAGAATGCAGGCAACAGCAGCCATTAGCGAACTGTTCAGAGGGAATGGAAAAGCTGCTTACATTTGACTGATTAACACATCCTAAAATAATGAATAAAGAAATGATCTTACGATTGTGCAACTAGGCTACGGTTTAATAAAGGAAACAAGGAATTACTTATTTACCTTAAAATACCTTCAGGTTCAAAGGGAGCCCTACACCACGAAGGTGGATTGGATATTCTGCATTCCTGTTATTTTTGCATATACACCAAGTTCATACATGTTAGTTACGAGTTATAAAATTTATAGGAAAAAACTATCCAACTTCCTACACATCATGAGGAGAAACTTACCTGCAGATCTCTATATACAGGTTTCATATAGAGATGATCTATTCCGAGGATGTAACGATCGATCATTGCTGCTGAATTACAGGCTGGTCCAAGATCCCCTCTTCTGGCACAATTAACCTGTAAGATTATTGCTAAAGTTATCACACTGGTAATTTACCATATATCTCAATCGTATTGCCTAGGTAAGTTTATGACTCGTATGGAACCTCTTCTATCATGTTGAGCTTACTTAAATTTAAATTTTGAAATTATACAAAACAAATATCAAGTGGCTTATATCATGTAAGTGGCTTATACCACAAACTCCAGAAAAGGAAGCTGCTGATGGTCTAACCTTGTACACATAAGTTTCATTGTGAGAATGTAAGGAACCGAGCTGAGGTGCACTGAATTCCCAATCGGGAACATATAAGCCATATAATAACCCCAAGTATATGAGAGTCAGTAGAAATGCAGTGCCCCTATGTATACATTAATACATATAATGGAAAGAAAACCATCAATCTCACTTAAACCTTAAAAAGCATTTTCATAAAAGTGATCATAATGCAGATATGTATAAACTTACCAATGCCAGATATAGTAAAGGAAGAACCCCCTTTTAGTTTTCCTTTTGCAAGGAAGCCATATCTCACACAAAGCCGCAATAGCATACCCAACAGCGATCCTCTGTGGTAAGTAAAGGTATCACATAATGAATGGTCCACCCCAAATTCCCAGTCATTCAAGCTAACTTAATCATGATAGTACAACAAAGCACCAATCTGGTATTAATAAGAGAAATGCACCTGTAAGATTCCTAGCCATCTTATTCTTTCAATGTCCACCCCATATGTCAAAGAAGTAATTCCATGCAAGAAGCCACCTAAATGAAGACAGATAGTCCCAAGGATGTGAGTTCAAGAAGTAGCACAATGTTTTATACGTTGTTTCTATTTTATATTTTCATCAATCTCGATCCTTAATAAAGCCTACAACTGAAATTAGTCTTTAAATCAATATCATGGATGGGACGTGCCAAACCCGTTATTCCTTAACCTAGGGATGCCGATAGAATTAGGTAAATGAATGTAAATTAAGAAAGAGCACATAAAGTAGAAAGATGGATAATTAGCAGATTGGTCCAAGAACTCATTTACCTTGAAGAAAAATACCCAGTAGAAAAAGTTTGAATGCCTTTAACACAACCTTCCTGGAAGCCTCTAATCTGTTCGAAACATTCTGGATTACATCAGAAGTAGAAATATTGTGTCAATGAATGAATGAAAGAACAGGTGGGTGCAGTGATAAGAATAATGAATTTAATCAAAGATAAAAAAAAACAAAAAGAAAAAGAATAAGAATAACAAAAATAATAATGGAATGGTTAAGAAGGAAGGAATACCTTATAAGCAATTGAGAGGGAAACGCCAGAGATGAAAAGAAAGAAAGGCATTACAAAGTCTGCCAGGTGCAAACCATTCCAAGGGCAATGAGCTATAATTGGGAAAACAGATCCGCCATAGTCCACTACCATCATTAGCTGATGAGGAAACACATAAAATTGAATCAATAACAATTAAAAAGAGATAATCACCAGGTTATTGATCAGCTTATTTCGAGCCGGTAATAATACTTAGTCATCAAAACAGAACGAAATCAAAGAAAAAGAGCTCACAAAAACAGAGAGGCCCCGGAAAACATCAAGAGAGGCAAGGCGAGCAGGTGATGAAGACGAACCCTTTTTAGTTGCAGAAGCACAGGGTTTAATTGCTCCCTCCAAGTCACTTAACAATGGCAAATGATCCTCTGCCATTCTTTCCGATTTATGAATCTCTGAGAACGAAGAAGAGCAGAGTATAAGTTTGTTTAAGCCACTCTCGCTTAAATCATATCCCCTGTTCAAAATGCAAAGACCCACTGAGTCAAAATGAGTCTATTCGGTATAGGTATCTATCTATATCTCCTATCTTCTCTACATAATTATACGACTCAGTTTTACGTTTTCCTGAATCTGGTTGGAAGGGAAGAAGCAATAAAGAATGGCGAAATGGAAGGGGCGGATGATTGATGAGAGAGTGGCTGTCCGACAGCGGAAGTAAGGTACACCCGAGAGGTGGTACGCGCGTTTCCGTGTTGATGGGTGACGTGGCGAGTCCTGATTCGGCAGCCAATCACTCTTCTAGTCGGTAACGTACTTTTTTGGGTTTCTCAAGCGCGTCGGTGATAGTGTTTTCTTGCTATTTCCGGTGTTCCGAACTAATTCTGATTCTACTTCTTTTTTAAAGCAGAAGCAGAATTAGAATCAGTTTTCAGAAGCTGGTCACCTTCAGCTTCTAAAAAACTAATTCTAGAGGTAAATTAAAGCATCAGAATCACTTCTACACTTTCACCCAAACACATCAACTTCTGTTTCTGCTCCTTGAAGAAGCAGAAGCAGTTTTAAGAATCAGATCCAAACACCCCCTCAGTCCCTGGGTAATTAACTCTCTTCTTAACATCGTTTTAGATGCCCAATTAGACCTCCCCTAAGCGCTAGGTGGTGGTTAGACGCTCCGATTTTTGTCTAGGCGCTCTGACTAATTGGTTTGTCATCTAAGTGAATTAGTCGGTCACTTATGGCGCCTAGTTACCCGCCTAAAGCGCCTAATCGGCCGCCTAGACTGTCTAGATTCGCCGAACATTACTTTACTTTTTAATTTTAATTTTCCAAGCAATATACATACTTTAACTTTAGTCATGGATATAAAGAAATGAAGATGTAAATTGAGATAAAACTATACACGTTTGTATATATACCTAAATTTTATCATTATTTATATTTATAACATAATGAAGTTAAGTGATTAGTTATCATATGCTATGTATGATTAAATGTGATAATTCTATCTTTCATGTTTGCTAATGTATATGTATATATGTATTTTATACACACAAAAATACAATAGTAGTTATCATATTTATTCAAAAATATAGATAAAAATGTAATTTCTATGTCTCCGACTAGTGTTCGCCTAGGCACCCGCCTAGCTGCCTAGGCGCTGGGCTGGCGCCTGACTAGCGTCTAGCGCCTTTTAGAAGATTAATAATTAATGTCGCTTATACGGAGTTATTAATGTTCTAAGGGTGTTTTGGCTTGGTGTTTTTAATCCCAAGACCAATCAGACTTTTAGCGAATCACATCAAATCATATCAGATCATACTTAAACAAATTAGGTCATACCATATTTTTATAGTTATAAATATATCGAGATCAGACATTTATCAAATCACACAAAATCTGTTTAGATCAGACCAGCCTTGAAAAGACTAGATAAAATCAAATCAGCCTTGAAAAGACTAGATCAAATCAGCAAATCTCAGTCCAAGTAAAAATATTTCTGTTGGTGGAATTGGCCGGATGAACCTGCAAAAAATATTAGAAAAATAATATAGCTCGAGTCGCGTAAATGATGTCCTCAAGAAAGTATTTCCGACTAGCGAAAACTTTTCACCAAGATAAAACGAGCTCTTCGGCGTAAGCCGATAACAGAACAACGAGAGTAAAAAAATTATGAGGAACTTTTGATGCGGGTGAATTCATATTTTGATCACAGCTAGCAATTCTAAAACAAATCACGGATTAGGCTTGTATGCTTAATTTTTTCTTTACCTAGAGCACCACACAAACACATATATAGAAGAACATACGTTGCTAGCAGGTGGATAGAGAAACGTTGGTCATCTTTATTAATATTTAATACGAGTATATACTTTAATAAGAATTAAAGCTACCAATGGTTTTAAGAAAAACCTAAAAAGAAAAATTCATTAATACAAGTTTAGTAATGATCAACAAATGATCAATGGATATGGTTTGTAACGTTCAACATAACGTCCAAAAATATTATTTTCATTATATGGTTATAATTTTATTTTGTAAATACATTTATTGATAAATTAGTGTGTGAAAAAATAATTAAAAGAAGTAACATTTTATTCATTTGAAATACTCTCATTTTTTCCAACAATCCCCCACATATTTCAAATAAATAATTTTGAGAATTTTGAAAATTAGTTTAGAAAAAAATCTGCTGGATTAATGGAATGAGATTTTAAATTTGGTGTTCGTAGCCTATGAACCAAACCGAGATGATTAAGTCTTAATAAACCGAGCTTTTGGTGAAACGTATAGTTTCTTGAATCAACAAGCTACTATTGGTAAATCAGGGTCTTAACGGTCGTGTCTCACCCCGCACGGTTTCTTGTTATTACGCCGTTGTGCGCCGTAAGGCCATGCGCGTGCTTGGTTTTCATGAGTGCTCTAGAAGTTTTGTCATGCTTCATGGAGGCGGCCCCACCTCACACTCATATAGGTGATATCATCAAGTGTGTACCGCTTTTGCACACCACCCTTAAGTTAAGGGCTATGATAATCATTAAGAGCTTTTATAGTTCACCCTCTCAAAGAATGTGGTTTCTAGCCTAAATCTCACATCATGGAAATGAGCAAGTTTAGTTAGACTAGCAGAACTCAATGGAAGACTTGTTATTACCCATTTGAACTTGCTTCATGGGATCTCCAAGCACACAAGTTGGGTTCCCATCCCCATTTGTTTCAAAGTGACATTAGTCCCATTTCCTTCGATGTTTCGGTTATCAAATTTTCGTCCTAGGGATTCTGTCAAAGGAGTAGCTAATTCCTTCTGACTTCACAAAATTAATGGAAATAATTCCATTCTCAAACATCAATGCACCACTTTTAAGGGTGAATGGATATTCACTATTTTAATTTATCTCATGTGAGTATACTCAGATATCGTCGTTGTATCCCAGCAATACAATGGATAACTCTCAATAAAATATAACATCGATGTGACCCTCTAGTACATCGGATAATTCTCAATAAAATATATACCATCATTGTATCATTATAGTACAATGTATAATTCTCATACAACATCATTGTGCCGCTCTAGGACAATGGATATTTCTCAATAAAATATATCATCGTTGTATCAATAGATTACAATGGATAATCACAATAAAAAATAACATAATTAATGGTACCTCTCGAATATCTCAATAACCGCCTCAACGCAATCCAATGATCCCTGCTTGGGTCATGAGTATATCGGCTCAATCTTCCGACAACACAAACTATGTCGGGCCTAGTATAATGTATAAAATGTAATAAGCATCCAATAATTTGGGAATACACATATTGAGTCTCACGATCACCTCAATTTTTTTAAGTGCATATGAAAGTCATAAGGGATACTCACGGGTGTGACGTTAAAATATCCAAACCTCTTTAGAAGTCTATCGGCACAATGCTCTTAAGATAGTATAATACCGTCATCCTTCCTTGTGACTTTCATATATACCCAAAACCATTTTTGTTACCCCTAAGTCTTTCACACAAACAAAAAATTAACAAATCATCCACATACAAGCAAATTATAATGCACACACCATTTTTACATTTAGTGTATACACACTTTGCGTTCTTGACCACTAACCACATGACCTTCCGGTTGCACCATATAAATTTCTTCTTCCTCTAGTTCACCATTTAAAAATGCAATTTAATATACATTTGATGAATAAAAATTTGTGAATACGTCAAAAATTTATCATTAATAAGATTAATAAGGTATGAATAAAAATCATTTCCAAAGGATTTCTCTATCCTTGGCCTCTTACTTCTTCTCAAAGGAGAAGGTTCATGATTAAAAGAATAATTTTCTTTTAATGGATCACTATCACTAGAGGGTTCATCATTAAAGGTTTTATTTCCTTGTAATGGATCACAATCACTATATGGCGCAACGGCCTTGTGTTCAATTTTCAAAGAAAACACATTTTCAAAAAATTAAGCATTTTTTGTTTCAACAACGTATAAACAAATAATCACACATGCCTCATTTAGTGTGTACACATTGTCCAAAACGGTCACATTAATAACAACAATAATATAGCATAAAGTATTGCACATTAGCATACTATTTCTTTCATTTAAGAAAATCATATATATGCTCCACTATTTCAATTTACGCAAAAAAGGCGCAGAGTTATAAAAGCTTATTTTCACCAAATTAAATAGGTAATAAAAATTTAGCTAAGCACCTCCACAATTTTAAATATTTAAAAACAAGGTGCATAGCCCTCCTAGAATTCATAGAGAGATAAGTAATATCTCAACCTTTATTTGTATACAATGATTTTATTAAAAAAATGCGCCTTTTAAATTCAAATAAGATAAAATTTAGTTTATCTCGAAAAATCACCAATAAATATGACAAAGAACCTTTACCACCTCTAATCAAAGTGTAGATGCTCTAATAAAATTTATATAAATTCATCAATCATATCACAATTTTCTAGAGGTGCTCCCATATCACTAAATATCAATCTTAAGATATTTAGGAGTTTCATAAATCAAACAAAAAATAAAGACCAACAAAAAAAATTGTCATGTAAAATGCCAAATCTATTATATCACATAACACAATAATTAACCAATCGTAAGTATGCAGAAACATCATCATGCAACATTTCAAAATTACTAAGCACAAAAAGTCCATTCTTACAATTGCCATTTCCCATAAGAACGTCATTTTTGGTCATAACAAAATTGTCACAACCAAAAGAAACTTTAACCCCAACTTTTCCCAAGAGAGAAACGAAAACCAAATTAGCCCTAATCTCGAGCACATGAAGCACATCATTTAGTGATAAAGTTTTCCCCGATGTGAGCTTCAGAAGAACTTTCCCTTTTCCATGCACCTTAACGGTTTTAGAGTCCGCTAGGTGCATGAACTCTTCACCGTCTCCTATAATAGTATAGGAGGTAAAAGCATTTTTGTTTTTACGAATATGCTTGGTAGCCCCAGAGTCTACAACCCACTCATTCACATCATTAGTTTTACAACTTTGAGAAACAACTGCAATAAAATTATCATCACTACAAACCAAGTTTAAACTTGATTTTAGTGGGTTGTTTTTCATAGTTGTCATTTTATCACTAAATAAACGAATAACTTTTTTTCTTTAAAAATGGAGTTAAAGTATGACTTATTGTAAGTAGGAAAGTGGAGAGACTAACCATTATACGTAGAAGAC